TAGTAAGGGGGTTGGTACTGGAACCCGAATCCATAGTCTTCTCCTTCTTGATTGCTCCAGGAAGTCTCGGGGTAATACTACTCGGATGGTGGTGGATACCCCCAATGGCTGGAGAAGCCATGAGGATCCATGTTTCAGATCTGCACCAACAAAAGCAAAACACCCAAGTGAAAAGCAAGGGTGGAAAAGAAAAGAAAAGAAAAGAAAAACACCCAATGGCTGGAGAAGCCATGAGGATCCATGTTTCAGGTCATGGTCGTAACTTTGAAGGCCAACCCGAAACTCTAGAGAGGTTGTTGTCTTTCGGTCATATCTCCCTCATTCGAACTCTGAATCAGACTCCGTTTGATCCTAGACGCTCGTAGTCTCGTCCTCTTTCTTTCCATCCCTAGATTATATTATTGTTTTTCAATTAAATGAGATATAAATCCATTCTTCCTTGGGTCATGCGCGAGTTTCATCCCCCGAGTTGTCAATTGATCTCCGATTGACTTGCAACTTGCGCCTATGTTTCAGTTTACGTGCTAGGACCTGAAATGTGACAAAGGAAGACAAACTAGCGTAAAATAGGCGAAAGTATGATAAACACCAAGATAAACAATCAAGAAATGAGGGATAAACATGTGCATATTAAGTGTTATATGTAATATAGCTTTATTGTCGATAACAACATGGTCATAATACTAATCAATAATAGACAGAATGGTCACAATCATTTGGTCACTGTAACAAACTGGTCATAATCATTTGATCGTTGTAACAAAATGGTCACAAAGCTATTGCTTAGAAAGACTGTTGTAAGAGTGACTTTAGTCAGCGATAGAGACCTATAATGGACATTAAAACCTGAGAAAAAAACATCAAACCTGCATATTTAAACATGCATATATTAGATTACATTCACCAAACTGATTAGATCCTACTTGACTTGGGTTGGCTCGCCATGAAATTTTCAACAAGCAATCGACATGTCACAAAAAGGTGTTCACAAAAGATGATCTAATCAGCTCCTAAAAAAATTTCAATGTCGGCTGGTTCTTCAACTATTGGGTATGCCTCCCACGACCCCTACCAGGGTTACCACGACCCCTACCAGTGTTACAACGACCCCTTCGAACTGTGACCTTCATCCTGGGCGAGTTCTCAGATGGTGGTACAAATGCTGGAGTAGGCATAAAGGTTGAGCCCTCGGCACGCTCACCATCTTCAAGAGATGCAGCTACTAAAGAGCCTCCCATGTGTTGAGGAGATGTTCCCGAGGGATTTGCTGCTTCGTCACCACTATAATTCTGGTAAAAAAATAACGATGTGAAGATGGCAACATCATTTCCATGAACCATAAACAGATTTCAGAGGGAACATCATTTCCATCCACCTAGGTTATGATTTTTCAAAAAAAAAAAAAAAAAAAAACAGACCGCATGGTAGGGGTGCGGTCTACAACCAAACCGCATGGTGGGGGTGCGGATTTCATCGAAAACGCGCCCCCGGGTGGCGGTTTTCGCCTAAACCGCTAGTACGGGTGGCGGTTTTACAGAAAGAGTGCTATTTTTGGAATTTTTCGGAGTTGGGTGCTATTTTGGAATTTTTTTTTAGACAGTGCTATTTCTGGAAAAATCCCTCAATAGGAGGGGGAGAGACATAATCATTGGTTAACTAACTAAAAGGACAAAAATGGATTTTAACTAACAATTAATTTTTCATTATTAATAAAAATGAAAAACGGGGAATAAATCCTACCACGCAAAACTGGCGCCATTTACCATTTTCAAAAAAATGCTTCTCCCAACAACCCTAAAACATTCCCCACCGTCTCCATCCACTTCGTCGTTAGAGATCCTACCTGTTCCGTCTTGTTGTGTCTCCCTCGTCCATAGCTGGCAAGCGTTGGACGCCGCACCTGCCGAGTAGTGCTCAGACAACCCCAATGCAACTTATTCGTTCTGGTAGCCCCTTCTTCGACAACCCTGTGCACTCACGGCACCCTTACTCCGACCACGACCGCCGTCTTGTGGCTGCGTAATTGCAACCGATATGGAACCTTCGGTCCCATTTGAGTTTGGTATGAAATGTTGTATGGGTATTATTGTTGTAAAGTTAAATTTTTTTTGTTGATATTGATTTTCGAGGGGGGTTGATAACTATATGTTGCGTTATATATCTCTCGTCTCAATTTGATTGAGAATGATAATAATAGCGTCACTCAAAAATGTTAATAGCGTATGTAAAAAATTAACATGTACATGTGAACACGTTGACAATTCCGTTACATTGAAGGCTTCAATGAGCTCCATGGAATCGACATTCGCGAGCAAGCAAAAGATTGGATCCGTAAGCATAAGTTCTACATAAATATTTGGGAGAATAGAGCTAATTGGGTGGTCCAAGATAGCCTATACACGAGGCCAATGAGGTACCACGATGGATACATGAAGTGGTATCAGAAGTTCACGCTCAGATGGGTTTCAAAGCAAGGTGTTGTGATGAGTTCTTTGATAAGTGATCTAGTCTCTTTTTGTTTTTTGTTTTTGTTTTTTACTTTCGTGCTTTGTTATTTGAGATATATTGGATACTTAGACTATGATACTTTGATAATATGGATTAGGTTGACGGTTTAGAGGTTGCCAAGACACCGTTAGGAGTGCACCCACCATGGATGAGGATAAGACCTCTATCCTGCGGAGGCTTTTCAACAAGCTACTAAGAAGTACCCGAGACCAAAGAAGGGATGTCATAGCGCACCCTCCCTTGTCTGCAGCAGCACGCCTGTCCTTCCGTGATGATGAACACATTGTGCCCCCATCCGACCCACCACGAAGGAGCAAAAAAATGCCTTATCCTCACATTGATGACGTAGGCGGCTCACGGATGCTACCTCATCGTCCGCATCTTCCAAAACCATAATCAACCACAACTAACTAATCAAAACATGTAGCATAATTAGCATTACTTTAACACGAGTATAAGAAGAAAAAAAATTTATAAAAACCATAACTAACTAACATCTATCTTCCATAATTAGTCAAAATATATCTACCATAACATACTTGCCACTAAAAGTAATTCGTTAAATACAAACATATGACTACTAAAACATCAACAATCTAAACAATATCAAATTTAAACATACCTTAAATTGGCGTTTCTAGAAGTGTAGTTGCTGAGAACGGCTGCAGAGAAGGGGAATTTTGGTTTGGCAGAAATGGGGGAGGGGTTTGGTTCAGCAGCTACTTGAGAGGGGGGAAATTTATTTATTTAACAAAAAGAGAGCATTCACTGCGTTTGTCTCAAGCAGTTTTGACTTCAACGCTGCAGACAAAAGCGATGAACGTTAGGTTGTTGTCACCTACCAAGGCTGTAAAACGTGGCAAATCACCGCCTTTGTCAACTGCAGTAAATGGTTCACCGCATCCCAAGTCAGCGGTGAAGGGTTCACTAAATTGACAAACGCGGTGATAGTTCCAAAACGTTTCGCTGCTTTGTTGAACAACGGTTCAATCTTCAATGCTGTTAACAAAGGTGGCAACTGCCTTCACCGCGTTTCGCTACAACAGTTTTGTTGAAAGTCTGAAACATGTGTAGATTGGAAAATTTTGACAAAATGTATGTATTTTGGGGGGGGGGGGGGGGATTTTAACAACATGTATACTTTTGGAAAAATCCTCCCTAATTAGGAACTAAAAGCTTGTTGAATTGTAGTTATATTGTAACGAATGCAATTATAAATCTTATATCAGTGATAATTTAGGGATCTAACAAGACTTTATTGAAACATATTTGTGGGAAAGTTTTTTTAATAATATTATACATGTTGAGAGAAATTATGTATAGTTATGTTCGTAAACTCAGGAAAATTTATGTACTCGTTGGATTAAGTTTGTTCATTAACACCCTATATATATTCCACATATCTTTTTTAATAGGTGCACCCGACTATATTAGAATTGGGTTTAAAGAAATCCTAACCAACCCTACTCATTCCTAGGGGTAGAGTGTGGTTTACGGATTGTGGGTAATCTGCAAACCGTAAAAAACCACACACTTTATGGGTAACCATACCCACATTTTGTTGATAGTGGGTTGGGTGTGAGTAGCAAAGTATTGATTTTTGTCGGTAGTGGTTAACCACTATCCACTTCGGTTAACCCACAATAACCACACTAAGTATATGTATTTATTTATTAATAATACTGTGTGATATGAAAATATGTGAAAATTAGAATGTTACCAATTAAAGTAGCCTCCAAAATCAAATACGTACTTATTTTATAAAATAAAACCAAGTCAATACACAATGTTCGTAAAATATAGTTTTATTAAATAAGCATCGATCGCATGATATGTGTTTATATTATAACAAAACCAAGTCAATAAACGTGGTTTATAGTTTATTTAACACTTTATTAACTTTTTATGTAGGTTTTTGTTTTTGTGTAAGAAGACGTCAATTCCGCAACTAGGAAGAGAATTCCATTTATCTCTAAATTTTTGGAATAAAAAAGCAAATGAGTCATGCCGCTGATAAAGATGGTATGTATATTCAGATTAGATCCCCTCCAACCCATACTCGTTATCAATATGCACTTCCTAAAGAAAGTGAAGTTACCTGTAAGCGAGTGAAGTTAACCAAGGGGAGGGAGGTTGACTACTTAGGAAGTTTCGAATACCGAATCCTCGCTCGTTCCATGTCTTGGGCTTGTTTGACTTAGTTTTAACTCAATGTGTGTTTTTTGCCGTCACTCGACCAATAGATTTTATCATATAGGAGCCCGAATGGCGAAGAAACGAAACTTTTTATGGGTATCCACATCCAACCCGCACCAACCCACAAAAAATAGCATACTTCCATATTTGTAAGTGTAATTAATCTCAAAATGTGGAACGGGTAACCACTAACACACACCCCAATTTCCATCCCTACTCATTCCCAACCCTAGTTGGACTTGGACACTTGGACGCTACAAGAAATCGAAACGCAGCATTTCAGGCAAAGCGGGGAGTTTCTTTCTGGAATATTCCAGGTCGGCCTCGATCTCCTTGCCCTTCGCGCACATCTTCAATCCTTAGCCCCAGTGTTCGGTTCCTTTCCTGCAGAGTATAAAGCTAAGAGGAAAGACCTGCCGCTACCGCACAGAACCGCGGTCAGATCCCATATCCACACTCCAAGCAGCCCTTCCGTTCGCGATTTCTCTCTTTTCCAACCGCAACCTTTAGTTTAATCATTCTCAGGATGAGGTAATAGCTTCCTACTTTTGCTCTATTGTGCCAACCATTCTCTGTTTTAATCGCTCATGTTGATGGACTCCAACTGTATAGCTGTAACCCGTTAATGTATCGGGGAGTTGGTTGCATCGGTTCCATATGCAAACCCATATCGAAAGTTCAATAATTTAAGCTGGTTAGATCAAAGGGTTTCCGCATTTAGATAGTCAATTAAAGGGTTTTAGGTTACCCGGAGTTTTGTGTGAGCAGTTCCGTTGGTGGGATATCAGTATGATTGTGTCGCTGCTCGAAAAGATTTCTAGGTTAGATAGTTAATGAAAGGGTTTTAGGATTTCCGGAGTTTTGTGTGAGCAGTTCCGTTGGTGGGGACTGGGATATCAGTATGATCGCTGCTCAAAAAGATTTCTAGGTTAGATAGTCAATGAAAGGGATTTAGGTTTTCCTGTTTTTTCCGTGAGCAGTTCCGTTGGTGGGATATCAATATGTTCGTATTGCAGCTCAAAAAGATTTCTAGGTTAGTGTTTCGTTAGTATACCACTATACCTTGTAGATTATTGTTATTGGCTCTTTTGGTGTCTATTGTTTTCGGGTTCGGACATTCGGAGCATAGGATCCAGTTTTCTGTTCGGGAGTTGCTCTGGATTGGTTGCGGTGAACCTTGCAATAATTGCTGCTGATTTGGTTTTAGGGTTTAGGATTAGCTGATTAGTGTTTATGACTGGGTTTAAGGGGCCGTGGTTTGGATTCTATCCAGGGGTTAGATCAAGTAGCTTAGAGGATGGCCGTACTCCTCCCCTCTTCTCGAGAGTATGGTCTAGTTGTAAGCTGTAATGAAAGCATTCAACGCACTTGGGACGAAACTTGTGGGGCAGCATCTAGTTTTTTATTAAGAAGAAGAATCTGGAACCTTTTTAAAGTAGCTTGGAGGTGTTAGTCGTCCAGTTTTGTGATTGTTCTCCAAAATCCTAGCATGTCAACCTGCATTTATGAGCCGTGAAGTTCAGTCCTTCACAAGGTTGTTCTGTTCATTATTCAAGTCCTTCACTCACATGTAGATAGCAGACTGATTTACTAAGCTACAGATAAAATTAATGAAGTAGATGGTTTATGTATCCTCTCTCAATTATATTGTGGATAAACAATCAATGAGAAATTTTAAGTGTGCCCAGAGGTTTGCCATATGCAGACAACCAAAGCTGTAGTAATATGAGACACTATATTCTCAATTCAATACCTCTGTAATATGAGAAAATAATATGTAGTGATCTTTGTGATTACTCGTGTAAAGCTTTGTTGTCTGAGTTCCTGTCTAAACTTATGGCATTTAGATCTGTATTGCTGCCTTCTCTTTTGAGGTTCCACGCAAGCAGCTGAGTAGATAGGATGCTTATTTCCGAAATATATGTTCCTTTAAATTGCGTTCACTCTTCTTACAATTATGTTTGAGGGTACAAATCTCTGTGAAACTTGCATGGTGTTGGTGCAAGTGAAAATATATTACATTGAATGGATAGTAATCTTATTGTGTTTGCTTATCTCATAATCTTTTCCTCGTTGCAGCCGGCACCCAATTTTGAAATGGGCACAGAGAAGTGATAAAATCTATCTCACTGTGGACTTGGCAGATGCTAAAGATGTCAAACTCAAGCTTGAACCTGATGGAAAGTTTATATTTTCAGCCGTTAAAGATGGGTGCGACTTTGTCGTAGATCTTGAACTGTTTGACAAAGTCAACGTTGAGGTACTTGAACCTAGGGTGACTAGTAGTATGTTAAGCTTTCGGTTAGATGGCATGTACTGACTTGGTATAGTTTAACAGGAGAGCAAATATGTTGTCGGCCCGAGAAACATTTCATATATCATAATCAAAGCTGAGAGCAATTGGTGGCCTAGGTTGATTAAGCAAGAAGGAAAGACGCCTGCATTCCTGAAAGCTGATTGGGATAAATGGGTTGACGAAGATGAGGAAAATGGTAAACCAAATTGGTACCTTGATCTCGAGCCATTTATGTTTTTTTTTAATCTGCTAGATTTCATTTTACTGATGTCTTCCTGCTCTTTCGAGTGTTCAGAGGTTGTAGGTGGCGGCGCTCCAGGTGGCATGGACTTTGATGGCATGGATTTCTCGGTAAGTTGGAAGGTTATGCAACAGTGTGAGACGGGTCTAAGTTCCATATTTACGAGTGAAAAGCTTTTGATGTGAAATTGTCCTGCCAGTTACTGCTCTGAAGTTGGTGGGATTCTGGATTGCAATTTTGTAAGCTAGGGTTGTTTGAATTACTGATTAGTTTTGGGGTCAGGGTAACATCCTCAGAAATGAAGTTGTAGACCATACGGAAGAAAAGCCCTATTGGTATATATACTGAGTTGAAGTAGAGTCGCACTATTTGGTCATCTGTTTAACCCTTGCCTGGTATTTAGGCCTTTGAAAATAACAATTCTGGGTTCATTTTTTCTGCCGACTGCAAATTTTGTTGTTGCTTACAGAAACTTGGTGGCATGGGTGGAATGGGAGGCATGCCGGGCATGGGTGGCATGGGAGGCATGGGTGGCATGCCTGACATGAGTGCCATGATGGCTGGCATGGGAGGCATGGGAGGAATGGGTGGGATGCCGGGCATGGGAGATTTCAGCATGCCAGAAGGAGACATGCCTGATGGTAAGAATCCTATGTTCTATTGGTGATTATTTTCTTCGTCCATTTCCGCCCATTTGGGTTTTGGGGGTTCTGATTTCGTTATTGTTATGAGAACAGATGACGATGAGGACGATGATGAAGATGAAGTCAAGAAACCAGAAGCCAAGGTGGAAGAAGTAGCCAGTAAATCTGCTTCGGAGGAAGCCAAAGCTTGAGGGTGCTCGAAGAAAACAACCAGCCTGCGTGCAGTTAACTTGAGATGGTTCTCTGATTGCATGCGGTTGGGGCGAAATCTCAACATATTGCTAAGATGTAGGCCCCGTTTTATGAATTTATGCTTTTTCTCCGTTGGGGGGTACAATAGAACACGTGTATGGATGGATTGATACTCTTTGATGGCAAAAAGGGCTCTCTTGTCCTTGATCGGTTTGGTTAATGTGCGGGTCGATGTAGCAAAATGAAGTGAAGGCTGATTGTTTTCGATTATGACTTATATGAATGAAGTAGCCCAGAGTGAGTTTATCTTAGTTTACGTGTTAAATTAATCAGATCTTGTATAACCTACGGTATGATAATGATATTCGTTTATCTATCTCGATGAAGTGACATAGTGTTCTTCAGGTAGAAGGGATAGTTTGCTGACAATCTGCTTGAATTAGTCTTTTTGGCATGATAGGAAGTTGTAGAACCCAACTTGTTATCTATCTATGATGGTAGATTCGAAGGTCTAGCCTAGCTGTAAGCTACGTTGGTCAAATGTCAGTCGCAATAGTCTCTATTCTATATGCCTCGAGGGTACAATTTCATCACATCTAAAACAACGCGAATATGCGATGCCGCTTATCTGGGTATTGTGTTAGGTCCGTAGCCGGCTTGTGCTCCAATAGAATAGAGTGATTCGTTCGCCGCCCGAAGAAAGCAACGTTTAGTGGTCGATGTCATATTGTCAAATGCTGCGTTCCATCACTGGTTTGTCATCTACTACTTGTACTGTCTCCTATTTTCAGCATCTCGCAAGTTTTTTTCAGGGCAGGCCTGTAAGGTGCTTACTCTGAGGTCTTGTAAGCGCTGGTTTATACCAACTGATGAACAAGTCAATGAAGAGAATCTATGTATTAGTGTTATGCCGATCATCGTAAGCCGCGACCAGCTGTGTAACGAATAACAAGCAGTCGCTTGCATCTTGCCGGATTTAAGATATGCTGAGCATCCCCGACGAATCCTGAAGACAAGAGGAAAGGGGAAACAGAGAGCCTCTGTAATGTGCCCCTGGCTATATAGTGAACTTTTCAATAATTTCCTCCATCAATAATTTCGTCAGATGCTTGACTAACTTATTTTCTTTTGTCTTTATTAATCGCAAGGCTAGAGCTATAAGTAAACAAGCTTACTTTTATGAGTAATTATAACCGATCAAAACATTTTGTTAGTTTCCGAAGAAACACTTTGAAGATGAAGCTGGAGCTGGAACAATGCGGCAGAGCAAGAAACCCACATGTCCTAGTGCTACCGTGTCCAGCACAGGGACACCTGAACCCAGCCCTCCAATTCTCCAAGCTCCTCACCTCCAAAGGCGTCAACGTAACTCTTGTCATCGTCACTGCCACCGAGTTGAGCTGCGGTCAACTCGGCTCAGTGCAGGTGAAGCAACTCTCCTACTCCGACTCCACCGAAAATTGTGAAGAAGAGGAAGATGAAGAACGAGACGGATATGGCAATTGCGACCTATTGAAGCAATACAGAAAGACCCTGAAAATGAAACTCCCCGGGGTGGTTTCCGAAGTAGAGGCGGGCGGCGACCGAGTGGTGTGCCTGGTCTATGACTCGCTGCTTTGGTGGTGTTTAGGCGTTGCCAAGAAGCTGAACCTGGTCGGGGCTGCTTTCTTCACGCAGTCGTGCAGTGTGGACGCCATCTACTGCGGGGTTCGGGAAGGTCGGGTCAGGGTTCCGGTGGGTTTGGATGAGAGGAATGAGGTTTTTGTGGAGGGGATTGGGCGGATGCTTGAGCTCCATGACCTGCCTTCCTTCTTCTTTGAACCGGAGGACCCGCCCGGTTCGTTCGACTTGCTTTCTGCCCAGTTTACCAATGTCGGGTTAGCTGATTGGGTTTTCTGCAACACCTTCACTACCTTGGAGGCAGAGGTAACTAAAACCCTTTTTGAGCTTTGATCATTTTTGTCTGGGAAGAATCACAAATTTTTTTTGTTCATTATTACTCGTCCAATTGACAATAGAGCATAACACGGTAGGGGGTGAACAAACGTACCTGCAATCCGACCCATCCGTCCAATTCAATCTGACCCACCCGTTTTTATCGGTAAAATTAAGGTTTTGGGTTGGATGGTGGTTTTCTTTTGTACAACCCGCCTCTTTTGGGTTGAGTGTGATTTTAAATTACACAACCCCTAGACCCCGAACAAACCCGTGTTCCAACTATTGGTATGAGTTCGTAGCCAAAAAAATATTTATGTCGTATATAAGCATATTTATGAGAAAATTAAGATATTTTGCCATGTTTTTCTCTCATGGTCTCGCTAAACTAGTGCGTTCTTCGACTTAAAGTTTAGACGTAGGTTTAATATAACTATGATTCACGTAATCATTTTTCTTGTGTGTAATCTTAATAGAATAACATATTATGGATGCATTCGTTTACAACCTCTTTAGTCTATTTAGACAAATGTCGTGTAAAAAACTAAATATATGTTGAAAGTAAATCATATTTTATTAAAATTCAAACAACATTTGTGCATTTTGATACCTTTCATCTCGATTTATTCATTTAAAATTTTAATCAATTAATTTCTCTTAAAAAAATTTGATAAGTTATATAATATTTTTATGGTTTAGAATAATTACTTTTTTTTACTGGGTTGGATTTTTACTTAAAAATATCACCAACCCGACCCAAACCTATTAGTAACAAACCATAGGGTTTTAATTTTCTGGGTAGATGTCGACTTAATATTTCCCAAACCGTAGTGCATGGGATTCAATTTTTTTGTGTTGGGTCACTAACTCCGGATTCAATTAAGATTTTAGGTGAATTGGATTGGGAGCAAGATAACAAGGCAAATATAAGATTTCCTTCCACTCTAATTAGATTAATCAAGTCGGGAGGTCATTGTCCTAGGGAACCATGGGTGGTTGAAAAGTCGATTCAATTTTGACACCACTTGAGATGTGACTTCCCTTTTCTTCAATTAATTACTTAATGCTAACCATTATTTTCTTGTAGGTACTAGAGTACATGGGCAGCCGGTTCAAATTCAAGCCGGTCGGACCAACAATCCCATCAACCTATCTGGGCAAGCAACTGGCCGGCGACACTGCCCACGACTACGGCCTCAGCTACTTCAAACCCAAACCCGAGGCCAATAACTACGTGGCAGAATGGCTGGACTCCAAGGAACAGGGCTCGGTGGTCTACGTCTCATTCGGCAGCCTGGTCGCCGTGTCAGGGGAACAAATCGCAGAAGTAGCCGCCGCCCTGAAAGCGACCGACTACCCTTTCCTCTGGGTGGTCAGGGAATCGGAAGAGTCCAAACTGCCCCAGAACTTTCTCCGCGAGACGTCCCAAAACGGCGTCGTTTTGAGGTGGTGCAGCCAGCTGGAAGTCCTGGCCCACAGGTCAACGGGTTGTTTTCTGACGCACTGCGGGTGGAACTCGACGATGGAAGCGATGAGCCTGGGAGTGCCGATGGTCGGGGTGCCGTGGGTGTCGGACCAGACCACCAACGCCAAGTTCATCGCCGACGTGTGGAAGGTTGGTGTCAGGGTGGTGAAGAAGACGGAGAAGAGCGTTGTGGAGAGGGAGGAGATCGGCGCGGCGGTGATTGAAGTGATGGAAGGGGAGATGGGGAAGAGGATTCGAAGGAATGCGGAGAAGTGGAAGGGGATAGCTCGAGCTGCTGCGGCAAAAGGAGGGAGCTCCGACAAGAACATTGAGGAGTTTGTTGCTGAGCTTGAGGTATACAACTCCCAGCAAAGACTTTGATGTTGCTAATTTGACTTTTTCATTGTCTGTTGTTGAATCTGAACTGAGAAAGGGGAAGCAAAAATGGGAAGAGGGGGGGAGTACAATGAAATAAAATGTAAGAATATTATTGGAAAGAATTGATGTAAGCTACTGATTTGCGACTGTCAAAAGAGATGGTAAAAAGATGTAATTTGATGTTTGTCATTGGTGTCCGAAATCTCCGTGATGGTTTACATCAAACATGCCCCTGTCAAACCTGCCTTTTTACTATTTTTTACATTAAACATGCCCTATATTTTGTAAAAATGATCAAACATGCCCTTTTATCAAAATTTTCATCCAAAAACCGTTAACTAAGGCCAAACTTTAGTTTGAGCGACACAAATGACTAAAACATCTCTAATAAATTCACTTTAGAATATGTTTGGTTCTTTTGTATAATCAAATCATTCAAATAATTTCACTTTGAAAAAATCCAGGGAAATAAAACAGGGGACAAAATTGACATTTTTCCTCCCACTTGTCGATGTCGGGTCGTCTAAATCTCGGTTCAATCATGATTGATGATTTTTTTCAATGGAAATTTTAACATAAGGGCATGTTTGATAATTTTTTCAAAGTACAGGGGCATATTTGATTTAAAAAATAATAGAGGGGCATGTTTGATAAAACATCATAATAGAGGGGCATATTATACCTATAACCCATGATCTAACTATCACACCTCTTGTAGTCTTCTTCATCTCATCTACACTCAACATGGGCCATCAGATGGGCTGGCCAGTTTGCCTCCAGGCCAGGATGCATCAAAATAATTCATTGGAGATGGCTTCGTCCTCTTGTCTTAATTGTTGGACTACCCTTAAACAATCTGATATTCTATCTCCATTTCAAGTAGATCGAAACGTTGAGCCACCACCATTCCATACTCAATCGACATCGCCTCCGCCATCTCTGTTTCCCACTAGATCTGTGATCTCTTCACCGCTGCCACTAAATATCTTCCCTCCTTATCCCTGATTACCACACCACCAGCTCGTTCCTCAATCCGGGAAGCAAGCAACATCGATGTTTACCTTGACCGGAGCAGTCTCCGATGGCCTCCAATGTCTGTACACATTCCTCTCCGGGGATTTGAGGCATGTCTGTTTCTCCATTCTTCGAGCTTCTTTTTGTTGATCTCAAATGTACCACCAGTACCAGAGACCAGTAACTGACCCAACTTTCGTCCTGGTCGGTCTCACTCCTCCAAGGTAAGATATTCACCCCTCTCAAATAGTGCATGTACTGGACTGGGTCTCCAGACCCGGCGACCATCCAGATTCCCTTAATATATGTTCTTGAGTCTCGTTTAGATCACCGAAGGGCACCCTTCGTTGCCCTTTTGTGTTCGTTCTAGGATTCGAGCTCATGTAGGTAGGATGTTGTGGAGCCATCTCCATGCAAAGAGTTTTACTTTTGGGGTATTTTCGACCCCATACCCTTTTTCCAATTAACTGCGAGTATAATCCTCATTTCTGGTTTCTTATAATCTATAAGCCGATTTTATCAAAACATTTCTAAACTCTTGATATATTTATGTATTTTTTTTTTTAAAAAACATGCTATTATTGTCATTTAATAATGCAACATTGTGACTAGGGCTGCAAATGAGCTGAGTCGAGTCGAGTTTTACCCCAACTTGAACTCGGTTCGTTAATAAATGAGTCGAGTCGAGCTCGAGCTAGCTTGTTTACTAAAATCTTGACTTTTATTTGGTACTTCATTTTGTATATCATGATACATATGATTTATTCTGTTCGTTAATCTCATAATATTATACTTTGTTGGTATCATATTGTCATAAACCAGTTGGTCCCAATAACTCGAGTTGTTGGGAGAGGGTTATGCTGGATCTTTATACATGCTCGTGTATGGTACTTAACCACTTCCTTACACGCCCCGTCAAACGAAAGCCGACTCAAGGGTTTGAAGTTTGCACAGGCCCACCATACCATGTGCTTGAAGACAACAGTTAATATTGGGGGTCGTGAGGACTTGAACACATGACCTCAAGGACAAACCAGCTCTGATACCATGTCATAAACAAGTTGGTCCCAATAACTCGAGTTGTTGGGAGAGGGTTATGCTGGATCTTATACATGCCCGTGTATGATACTTAACCACTTCCTTACACATATATCATTTAGTTAATAAATTTTAACTACTCCAAATCATGTTATTTCATAGTATTGAAGCAATCTATGATACATAATTTCTTTTTAAAGTATAAAATAAGATATATTTGTTCACATACTCAACGTGTTTACCTTTATAAATGTGAGATATATAATTTAACAACCATATGAATTAAAATCATAAGATATAGATAGATTCGTCCATAAGTTGGTAATAGAGTTGGTTTCTCTAGCCACATGTTGAGACATATCATGAGCTCTAAACGAGCCAGCTCAACGAATTTAGGTTCAACAACCCACCGAGTCGAGCTAGCTCGCGAACTTCCAAGCTGAACGAAGCTTAGCTCATGTTCGGCTCGTTGGGGTCGAGTTTCGAACGAGTTTTTCTCGATTCGAGACGCCGAGCCGTTCGCGAGCAGCTCGACTCATTTCCAACCCTAAATTGTGACTATACAGGTCTGATAGGGTATCTTAAGTACTAAAGAGGAAAAACCCTAAGCTAATGGCATAAAGAAGGAAAAGAAGTCAAAAGAGCAAAAAGACAAGGCTGGGAGGACAAGAGACAAGCCCAAGCACCTGACATCAGCAAGGACAAGGGGCAGGGGGACACCCTCTGTCAAAAAGGACTATGTACAGTGTCAGAAAGTCTGAGGCGCCCGACCACAGCATTTATGGCTTGGCAGGCGCCCAGACCACGACCTAACCCTCAAATGTGTATAAATAGGAGTTCTCTCCTCATAAATGGCAATCTATCTACTCTTACTCTAACTTCTCTCTACTTTCTCTCTCTACATACTTCTTCTCTTCCTCTGCTTCGGACGAGGCGGGGCGCCTACCCCTTCAAGGTCATGGCTGACACCCCAAACCCCTTGGACCCGAGCGACTCCCAGTCGATCGGGGCTCAAACAATTGGCGCCCACCGAGGGGTCAAGCATGACTTTGAAAGACGCTTCCAACTCGAAAAAAGGGAGAAGAAAGGGGTCCGGCACCAACGAAGACCCCTCTCAAGCAAGTTGTTGGTCGTGAGGCTATCAATCCTCAACCACTCACCATCCAAGGTTTGGAAGCATCTGACGACGACGATCCACCGGGAGACAGAGAGGGCGCGGAGTGCCTGGAGGGCCAACTAGCAAAGTTTCGGGAAAAGCAAACACTTCAAAATGGCGAACATGCAAGGCCAATTAGACCAAGTCATGACCGCATTGACGGCACTCACGAAAGCTAACGACCAGGCGCCTCCCAACTCACAAGAAGCCATGGAAGAGAGGAGGCGCCTCCGAGGAAAAATGCAGGAGGTTGAGGTGCCACCCGTGAACTCCCCAAGGGAGGGTGTGGGCGCCTCTCCAAATGAGGATGCAATGGAAGCAGACGACGATGTCTACCTGGAGAAGTACGCCCGACTCAACTATGGCGCCTTGGAGGAAAGGAGTTCCCAAATCATTAGACAGCCGTTGTCAAAGGGAGTGCTCGAGACACCAATCCCACCAAATTTCGCAAGCATCGGTCTACCATCATATGAAGGAAAATCTGATCCAGAGGATCACTTGAGTGCGTTCTGCCGTAAAATGCAACTTCTCAATGCGTCTGACGCCGCCTTGTGCAAGGCATTCCCCTCAACCGTCACCGGAGCATGCAGTAGTTGGTACTCATCGCTTCCGGAGGGCATCATTCAGAGCTTCGCTCAATTCGCTTTGCTATTCACAACAAAGTACGCAAGCCAGAAGAGGCAGACGCTGACAGTCCGGGCACTTGTCAACCTTAAGCAAAGAAAGGGAGAGAGCCTCAGGCACTTCATGGGGCGATGGTGGGAGGTTGCGTCCGATGTCAAAGACCTAACCCCTCCACTTATGCGCACCAACCTAATGGACGCAAGCACTAACAAAGAGCTAAGGCGCTCTCTAGCCAAAAAGAGAGATAAGACAGGTGGTTGAGCTAGAGGAAAAGATTCAGAAGGCAATTCTCATGGAGGAGGCGCTAGGGTCAAAGGAGGAGGAGCAAGGAGGTAGCTCCAGGCGCCCAGCTCAGAGTGGGAGGGGCGAGGCGCCTAGGACCAGAAGGCGGAGTTCTGATCGACGAGATGATACCCGACGTCCCAATGTCTGGGTAAGGAGAGACGTTCTTGCAAATTCACAAGAGCCTCGCCGCGACCGCACCAATCGCGAGAACGTGAACCAATCTCGTGGGCAGGCAAACATGTACTGCGAGTCCACAACTCGCGGACCCACAACACCGTTGACTGCCACTACTTCAAAAAGGCACTCAAGATAATCTCTGATCGAGGAGGAGTAAGGGAAATGATCCAGAAAGCAGATCAGGGAAACCAATCCCCGCGGGAACGCAGTCGCTCCCCAGCCGCAAGGCCACCGGTACAAGGAGCGCCTAGGCCCCAACCCGAACGTCAAGGAGATAAGAACCATCACGGGAGGAGAGCCTAGTCGAAAGAAGAAGCGCAAGGGGCAAGCAAGTGACACATGGTGTATGAAGATCGCAAAACAAGAAGGTCCCGACTTGTCGTTTACATCGCAAGACTATCCTCCGGAGGGCCCGTCTGAAAGCCCTCTTGTCATCAACATACAAGTAGAAGGTTTCAAGGTGTTCAGAGTGCTGGTGGACAGTGGGAGTTCCGCCGACATACTCTTCTATTCTTGTTGGCGCCAATGCAGACACCCCCCGGAGGTGATGCAAGCTTCAGAGGCCCACTTGTCGGCTTCTCCGGAGCGAAAGTGAAGGTGCTAGGAACCGCGCGCCTAAAGGTCAAAGTAGGAGATGAGGAGCCAAGTGCCACACACCCAGTGGACTTCCACATTGCCGATTGCCCGTCCGCATATAATGCCATTCTAGGAAGGCCCTTCCTAGCTCGGTTTGGGGCTGTGGCCTCAACCTGCCATCAAGCAATGAAATTCCAAACACCCCAAGGGATGGGGATAGCCAGAGGGGATGTGAAGGCAGCAAAGGCGTGCTATGCAGCGACCATACACAAGCCAAAAATACACACG